ACAAGGAAGTCAATCTGGCCATTTATGCAAAATCCATAAAACCTTTTTACAATCCTGTAGTACCTATTCCACAATCCTCACCAAACAATCATCTATTATAGGTAATGTTGAGCCTTTCCATTTTTGAGCATATATTAATTTTGCTGCAGCTGATATATATGAAAACAAAGTTTTATGTCTTTTTTCTAGCTCTCTGTCCAATAAATCCAAACGAAAAACTTTTGTTTCAGTTGTATTTTTTTCTTTAAATATAAATCTTTACAATTTATATTGTTTTATTTGTTTCCTAGTACATTTTGATTGCTTATTAGTAACCTATACTATCACTAAGTGTTGTATCTTATGATTTTTCTTTATGTACACTGAGAGCATATGCACCAAAGACAAATTCCTTGTGTGTCCAATCACACTTGGCCAATAAAGAATTCTATTCTATTCTGTTCTGTTCTGTTCTGTTAAAATCTTCTGAATTAATATATGTATTTGTATCCGTTGGGGAGACTTTTTATACATCCATCAATATATGTCCTTTCATAATGTTCACATTTCCAACATAAATTCAAGATATCTTTATACATTCTAGGCTCTAGAGTCTAAACTCTAGACTATTTCTCTGTCACAAATACCAATCATTTTATAAACATAAACAGACAATACTTTAAGACTAATCCTTTCAACCACACATTTTCCATTTAGCCAATTTTATCATACTTTTGTTACTTGTGAACTTCTATCTCAAGTTTCAACAAAAGTTTATACATTTTTGCAATCTCCTGTTCATCCTTTGATCATAATTCTGTTTCAAAGTTAGATTTACATCGTTGTAAACCATAAAAATGTTTATCTACTTTAAACCTTTCTATACTCGTACATGGGACAATCATTAAAAAGTATATCCTTCCATCATCAAATCTTCTCTCATTTTACATTCCACTTGAAAAAAAGCTAATATATCACAATGATTTAATTTATTAATATATTTACTTACCTTTCTCATCTATAAAATGCTGCTTGTGCTGAGAGCCATAAAGGTGTTTTTGGGCACAACCTAGATTTATTCCATTTTCTCAGAATGGAATGGCTGACATAATGATTTTAAAAGACTATGTTAACCTTCATTTTATCATGCCATAAATGTCTACATGATCCAAATCTATGTCATGTCCTTCTAACTCAGTAGCCTCCTATCTCTCAGTAACACCTACTCTTTCATCCAAGTTATACAGAGCAAGGTATAATTTCAAAACAGGTAGACCCAATCCTCCTCTTTCCTTTCCATCTCGTAGTATCTTATATTTAATTCAGTTATTTTTCCCTGCCATACAAATTTAGATAAATCCTTCTTTGTTAGGTGAGACCACCAATTAGATGCTCTCTTTAACAGTACATGTCAAAGTTTCCCATTAAATTCTGGATCTTATAAACTGGTTTAGTGCAAATGTATTTATTTATTTATTTATTTAATTAATTAATTAATTAATTAATTAATTAATTAGTTAATTTATATGCCGCCCCTCTCCGAAGACCCAGGGCAGCTCACAATACACTCAAAAAATCACTATAAAAACACTTAAAAATTAAAAACATTAAAAACATTAAAACCCATTCACACCATTCATGGCCAGATCTCGTCAGATTGCAAAGCGAGATCAACGGCCCCAGGCTTTTATTTTACATAAAATGTAAAAATGATAAAAAATACTGTTCCCTTATCTATTTTAAAACTTTCTTAAATCTTCTCTTTGTTAAGATTTTTGCAAAAGGTTTTTGAATCTTTACATCAAAGTTTTTCTTGTAGTTCTTGTTTGTAATTCTGAAAGATTTAACTCCCATAGGGAATTTTATCTTTGCTGCAAGGGAAAACTTTCTATAACTGTAGATTAATTACTTTCCAAGTGGTTTATGGGCAGATCAGACTTAATGCCCATATGCATGGCTATACTACAGCTAAGAATAAGGATGGAATCCTGACGGGTGGGTTCTGCTTACCTTTACTACCGGTTTGCAACTGGATCCCTTTGATCCAGATTATGCTAGCCAGAATCCACCTTACAGTTGATGTTCTCAACTGCAATTTCTCCACTTCTTTCAAGAAATCTGCCAGCCACAATTTCCCACCAGAAGCCTCCTTTTTTCATACTATTTTGAATGGCCAAAAAGGCATTAAAAATGGGGATAATTATACTGTGAATATCTCAAAATGTGCATGGACATTTTTTCACTTTATCCTAGAGAAGAGCATTTAAGGTACACTAAGTAGAGAACATGATAAATAAATGGAAAACATATTATTGGTGGTGATTCAATTAAATGTAAAATGTCACAAGATAACCATAGCATTGATTTACAACAATAATATTTTAAAAATATTGTTTCATTATAGCAGTATTTATCAATCTTGGTAAAGTTAAGAAGTGAGAATTTCAACTTCCAGAATTCTAGAGAATTCTGGGAGTTGGAGACCACACTTCTTAAAATTGCCAAGTTTGAGAAACACCGAGTTAGTTTCAAGCTCTGAGGTATCTTAAAGACAAGCACCAACATTTTTGATTGCACTCGTGTGCTTAGGTGTCTGCTTAAGCATCAGCAAAATATTCCACATATCTGCTTCTAGTGTGCCTTGCAAATTTGTTTTCAATTTCAAGAAGTTCAAGAAAACCTAAGAGAAAACCTAAGTTCTAAGAGTGGTTAGGGAATTTCTGGCTTTTCCAAAATTGCTTACCGCAGCCAATATGGCAAAAGATAAAAGATGATGGGAGTTGTAGTTCAGCAACATCTGGTCAAAGCTTCATTCCTCCTGTGTTTTAATTTTGGCTTAGCAAGATGTTTCATTTTGGTCTAAAATAATTTCAGGGGGGAAAAAAACCACAGTTTACCAAATACAGGATGGCTGTGCATATCACATTAGGTCAAAATCAAACCAGGTATGTTATACTTAAGAATGGTATATAATCCTTTAGAAGAACAGGATAGAAATATTGTAAACAATTAAGGCAAAAATTATTTTATTGTAGGAATAATGAGCAGTTTCTATGACTTGACAGCATTATGTGCAAACTTTTAAGAAAGAAGTTTTTTAATATTGTTCATAAGAACTCATTATTATTATGATCTAGTATAGTATTTTTACTTAGGTCTCAAAGTATTACATCCCAATGCTTAGAATTATGTCAATGGCTGCAAACCAAGGCATGTTTATTTAGACATCTGCTCAGTTCAATTATTATTTTATGCACTGAATATTATACCTTAGCCTATATGTACCATCTGCAATAATTTCAGCTGTATGTTATGATGCATAAAAATATAATTTGGAAATAACCATGTTACTGACTTTTATTTTGAAAGTGCTTTTGAATCAGTTTTAACTCCTGCCTGGACTACCCCTGCAGGTTTCTTGACAGGTTTCAGATGTGGAACTGTTGCCTAATTCCTGGGGCTCAGAGAAAGTGACTGGCCCAAAGTCACCTAGCTAGCTTTGTGTCTAAGACAAGACTAGAATTCCTACTCTCCAAGTTTCTATCCTAATGCCTTAACTACTACATCAACAGATTCTCTGTTGCTGACTTTGGTAACTGACACCAAAATTCACATTTTTTCTGAAAAGAAATGGAATGCTGAATGTTTATATTGCATATTTTACAATTACTAAGCTACCGATTTCATTCATTATCTTCTAAGTGAGTAGGCAACTTTTCAGAACATGTAAGTATTCAGTCGCAGCTGCCACACTGGATATTGCATTAACAAATGCACATTTATCAAAAAGCAAACTTGAGGTTACTTCCTACATCTCCTGTATTCCCTCAGATGATTTTTTAAGATATGAAAGTTTATTTTAAACATATAGTTACTTTACATTCTAGCATCTGATAGTAAAGAATAGAGTATAGATACAAAAAAAATGAGATACTGAAATAAAGAAAATAAAACATAGAAAATATCATATGGACAAATTTTTGTTAGCTTGTCCTTCTTTTGTCTTCTCTTCCCTTAGCCAGTTGCCACTATTTAAGTATTTGTCTTTATCTTGAAATATTGTAGAATATTACTTATATTTATGGAAACAATTTTATCTATTTTTAATCAATGTTTTAACTCTTTATCATAAGATCCTTTCCTAATTCTCCTTATCTTCTGGTAGGTGGGTACACTTCCAGCTAAGCCCTGGTCTGCAGCCACCCACCTTTATTTTTCAAAAATATCTATATGGCCTATGTACATTTTGGAAACAAAGATCATGCTGGTGAGTCATGTTTTATTTTGCTGCACACTAACTTCATCTTTTCTGTTTAAGTAACAAAAATTAAACTTAGGTATGATCAAACACTTGATAGGCACCCGTGGAACTATTTACTGGTACATCTGTGCCCATGGACATAGCAATATCTTGGTGTGAGAACAAGAGCTATTAGTTGCTGAAAAATGAGATCCAAGAACAACAGAGAATATTTACTAGAAGTAAATCTAAGCTTAAGAGCTCCCTGACTCATCTAATCACAGATAAAGTAACACAAATGCTGCCAAGTGGCCAGCAGCAGCTCCATATACCTGTCCACTCATTGTTTACATTTTAATGGAAATTCTATTCCAGCTATACCACAAAGCAGTTTAGAAGCTAGAAACAAATGCTGCTTCAGTGGAAGATGAATTTATGTTAACCTTTACCAAGAATGCAGTATAAGATAAAGCACTTAAGCATTTAGAGCATGGTACATCTTCACATATTATACAGCTCCATGGGAACAGATAAAGTGCTAACCATCTAAAGTTACCTTAGGGACATAGAATGAAGTATATAAAACTCTCCAGTGACATGCAAAGCTGTATTTTTAAGTCAAGACTTGCAACTTTTGAAAACGCATTTTTTTAGGAAGTCAGGAATGAAATTTGGTAGTAAAGCATTCAAAACCATATTATCTTTTTTAATAAAGCCAAGATAAGACAATTTGCTGTAATATCTGCTACATTAAACAACAGAAAAAGCAAAATGGCACTCGTATTTTTCAACTTTTATTGCCACAAATTCATTTTCAGTGAAACAGTTCCAGAGTAAATTATTTGCAATACGTTTAGATGTAACAAATCTTCAAAAATATACATTTCCCATATTTCAAATAAATCAGAGCAAACTTTATGTTTAAAAATTGGTGGGGTCAGGAATAATAATTGCTTTGTTGTGGAAAACTTACAGATTTCCATTATATTTTAGTTAATCCAGCTAAAGATATTGTGTAGCAATGGATTAAGATTTCCTAAACTATCAGTTAGATAGGGTTAAAACCTGTAAATAGGTAGCTTACTTCTCTAATTAAATTAGAAATTTATACCAAAATTAGAAATGGGAAGTTTCAGAGGACATTATATAGAAGTAACAGAAAAACAGAGTATATATGGTCAAGAATGTAGGCACTTAAAATAGGATCCAGAATAATATATACATCATGAAGTCTCCCAAATTTTCAGATAGTCTTTATATCTGAGATTCCTATACTCTACTAATGTTCTCCCCAATTAAAAAAAAACCCTCTGACACACTAGATAACAAATCCCACTCGTATTCAATATACAGTAGTGCAACTGCTTGTACAGGAAATTATGAGAGTTCTAGTACATCTGGAGTAAACAATAAGGGAAAGCTACACTATCATGAATCCAGATTTCCTCTTCCTATGCTATGTACCATTGTGCATTGTAGCATTGTTCGTGTTGCGCCTAAATGAGTATTTGATTTATTTTCCTGGGATGAAAAAGAGGATATTTTCTGTGGGGTCCTTGTTGCTCTCTGAGCTTGTTTTCTTGCAGACATTTCATTACCAAACTAGGTAACACCATCAGTGCTTGAAGGAAGTGGGGTTTGCTGTCATTTTATATACTAGTTGCTTGCCCTGTCAGTGTTGACTAGAGTCTTGGTGGTTCCTTGATTGGGATATTGTTTACTTCTTGATTGTTGGTCTAGTGTGGTGTTAATCTCTGCTCATCCAGATGTTGATTGCTGGTGAGGAGGCTATTTTCTCTGGCGGGTTTGCATTTTTCTTTTCTCTTGGCTGCTTGATCCAAATTCTGCTTGGCGTCAAAGGAGCTGTTACACGTTAACTCCAACCGAGCGCAGGACGCTAGCAAACAACAACAACAACACACACACAAAAAAAAACCGTCACGTTACAATGATGAATGAGGCTGTGTGGGCCAGCATCTTAAAAGCCGAGGCTTTGGCTTCTCTTTTAACTGTTTCAACCTGACAGCGCAATGGATCACCCCAGACTGCAAGGGAGAAGTATTTAGCCGTCGTGCACGTGCCTGAGTTTCCCTTGGCCGCGCAGCCCCTTTCGTCCCCGTCCGCTTGGAGGACTGGAAGACTTTTTTTTTTTTTCACGCGGTCGCGAATGCATACGAGGCGCTCGAAGGAGCCGCTCCGCTTCACGGCGGTGGCGGCAGCTCGATCTTTGCTCCCACCACTTTCTAGCGCGAGCGCGCGCGCGCGAGCATTAGCACTCCAGCACTTGGCAATCCTTCAGCAAAAAAAAAAAAGCCGAGCCGGAAACGCATGCGCAGAATTTTGTGTTGTTCGGCGCGCGCTCTTGCCCTCCTCTTTTCTCTTTCCTTCCCCCGCGCCCCCCCCCGGCGGGCCCCCCCTTTCTGCTCCTGGAGGAGAAGTTGGCGCGCTGCCCGTTCAGGCATTCAGCGTGAGCTCCTCAGGGATCAGCAAGCAAAGTCACAGTCTGCACAAACAGAGCTTTCAAATTCATAAAATTCATAGGATTTTTCACAAATGAATGAACACAATTTTCTACCAATTTCCTCATTATGCAAATATGCAAAATATCAAATTTAGGCCAATTAGGGTCCTCCACAGTCCCAAATTCACCCGTTTAAGCCATAATTACAGAAACTATCAAATAATTACGGCCGCTAATTGGAAATATTTGTGACAGATACAACAAATTCTTGCACAAATTACATTTCATTTTAGGAACCACTGCGCGCCACTGAAATTTTATCGAAGTCTAATTTAACTTACATAATGAGTTGAATTGAGTACTTGTTATCAAATTTGAGCAATTCATAGCTCCGTAATGTGGAATGATCAAATAAATTAAAAGGGAATTTATTCAATATTTTTGTTGTGCTTCTTTTTTTCGAAACCATTGCTGTTTTGTGAGGAATTTCCTTGCTCCCGCTGCCCGAGGTGGCTGACATGTGTCATTTTTTTTTTATAACCCACCAGCTGCAAAGAAAAGGAGGAGGAGGAGGAGGAGGGAGAGAGCTTGAACCGCCGCCGCCGCCTCCTGCCCCGACCGAAAAGGAAGGGCAACGTTTGGAGTCGGGGCGCCTTCCTCGATATTAGCATTCTTAGTCCGGCGAGAAGTCATAACAAGAGGCAAGCCCGGTTTCCATAGGCGGCGAAGAAATAGCAGTTTCTTGCCTTTATACTTCCGGGTGAATGGCGGTGGTAACCGACTGGGAAACTAAGCGCTCCGAGCGGGATTTTGCTGATGGCGCGCCATGATGCGCTGTTGGCGCCTGGCCCCGGCAAAGCGGCAAGTGCTCAGCGCCATCAGCTCGATGCCCACCACGGGGCTCAGACACGCAGCTTGGGGTCGTTCCTCCTCCTACCTGGGAGCAAGTTCGTGCAACTGAGCGGGACAAGGGGAGGGGGGGGGGGAGAGAGAGACGCCTCTCCGATCCCCTCCCTGACACGTCACTCTTGCGATTTGATCTTCCCTTTCAAAGCAGACTTTTCTCGGAGGGCAAATTCCGCAGCAACTGACCCGAGTTTGGTTTCCTACTGAAGTGAATTCGTTTTAGGATCCAGGCATTTGGGATGCTTTTGAGCTTTTATAGGATCTATCTCGCTCGTTTAAAACCCGCTTTCTAATTCGCCGGCTCTTAGAGAATGTAATAGAGCATATAATAATAACAATGCCGCCATCTATAAAATATTCTATTCTATTCTATTCTATTCTATTCTATTCTATTCTATTCTATTCTACACCAAATAAATTTTTGTTATGTACACTGAGAGCATATGCACCAAGACAAATTCCTTGTGTCTCCAATCACACTTGACCAATAAAGAATTCTATTCTATTCTATTCTAAATTCCTGCTATTTAATATTATCTAGGCATCTGCGTTCATTCTCATTAACAGTACATATATAAACATGTTATGTACCATTTTTCCCCTGTGCCATTTTTTTATTTCAGGCGACTGCCTGGATAAGTCCCTGCAGTTTTCTTAGCAACATTTTCCTAAGTGGTTTGCCGTTGCCTTTTTCTTCGGCCTGAGAGAAAGGAACTGGCCCAAAACTCCCCAAGCTGACTAATAAAACTGACCATCTCCAGGGTGCTAGCCTGATGCCTTGAACCACAGCACCCCACCGCCTCTTACCATATATACTTTTATAAAAATTGAATATAACATGATTCCCACAATGATCTAAAACCATGCTTATTACAGTGGACACCATCCAGTCTTTTTTTTTTAATGGAGCTTCAAACGTTCAATGGTTATGGCCCTTTTATATGTACCTTAATCTTATTTGTAAAATGCCGATGTCATTGTGTGTGTGCGCGTCTACAATAGCTACGCGCGCATTCATTGTAGTATGCTTAGAATGTTACACAGCAGCCGATTGTAGTTTGTTTTCCGAGAAATTGAAAGCGTAAGTGCTCTTATAATATTAAGGCGTAAATATTATTATACTTAAGTCTGTGGGACTGTGAGTGTGCATTTCCCCATGCTGAGCGCACTTGAGTGTGCGTGTACCTATACTATTATATATAACTCGTATTTATCTCGGTAGACTCCAGAGTTGCCCTCTTAGGAGAAGGTCAGCTCCCTGGCCGTGGACATTATTTTTCTTCCTTACAGCCATGCCCACATACCCCCGCGCGCACCCCTCTTTAACTGCCTGTGGCCTCGTTGGCGGATTATAAATGTCTCCTTCTGCCTGTGATTTGTTTAATCCGTGGAAATGGTGCTGGTCCTATGTAAACAAGCCAAGTGCGGAATGAAGGCAGCCACCCATGCGTGGCCAGCCTGCCTATTTGTCAGAAAACCTTCATAAATACTGAGTCGAGGCTGGGCAAGGATGTGATGTCTCCATTTTGCCAGGAAAGGGCGCGAGGAAGACAAAGCGAAGCAGAGCGCCGCGTAACCTTTAAGGGACAGATAGTGGGTGCGCTGCTCTTCGCCCGAGTCTCGCTCCCTCCTCCCTGCCTCTCTCGGTAATTCAACGCCAGCCAGGATGGATGACGGCTTCTCTGGAATAGCTAGATCCCCTTCTTTTACGGGCATCATGTATGTGTGCAAAAACAAAGTGACGAAGACAGTCCAATAATATCTTCGTCCCTGAACCTTTCCACAATCTCTCTCTTTAATTCTTTGGGAGCCTGACATACTCGCAGACAGTTATGGCTGCTTTCAGAAGGATTTCTTCTGGGTGCCTTCCTTCCTTCCACCCATTGGCTCCGTGGGAGGCAGATCCCCAAAAGCCTCAGATGGTAGATGTTAACTCCCTATTGGCGGGGGGGGATGTTCCAATTGTACTTGGTACTATAAGATTTGCTCTCCATTCCCCTACCCGACCCCCAGCTTTACATTTAAACATTTTTCTTTTGTCCCTGAGTGAATTTAAGGAAAAACGTTAAGGGCCTGATCGGATGCTTCATAAGAAAACTGCCCAATAGCTATGTATTTAAAACGTGAGAATCCTCGAATATTAATACGTAGAAGCAGCTATTAATCAAATCCTTTACACCTCCTTTAGCTCAGGCGAGATGCAGGGTATTATCATAAATCTACTCTGATAGTAACACAAGAATAATGAGTTCAGTAATGATCACTATGATGATGATAATGATTTTAACCAACAAAGAATCGTGTAGATTTATTGCTAATAACGTGGTACAGAAGACTCTTCATTCAAAATTACTAGAGATGTACATTTTATTGTTGAAGAAGAGGTTGCCAGAAGGATTTGGTACAGTAAGACATTTGACGCAATAACTAAAGAAGGATAGCTTGTATTAGAAAGCTCTTTCTCTGTGTAGCGCTTGCTAATAAGTGGAAGAGACTTCAACTCCCAGAACCTCCAACCAGATCAACCATTCCCACGCAGAATTCTGGGAGTTGAAGTCCAACACTTCTGGAGAGCATCAGGTTGGAAAAGGTGTGCTAAAGTATTTCTTGGGATGTCAAATGAAAATTATCTAATTAATTTCAATGTCAGCAGGATTTAGGTCCCCCCACTCCCATCTCTTTCTCTCAGTTTCTCTTTCTCTCCTCCTCCCTCTTATTCACATAGAGGTTAAGCATATCACAATATTAAATTGATGGGTTTATTTGCTCTGTAAAGGATGGAAACAAAGACATTATTGGATTGAGGCACAGTAATGACAATATATGTTATCAGTCTGAAAACTCTACAAAAATGTACCACTATTTTCAAGCATGTTATAGAAATCCCACCATCACTTCAGGTTATGATCTATGTTTTTCACCAAGAAGCACAGTACAATTAAATGAAGCAATCTGGATTTATCCATTGAGAGAATAATTGGCTAAAAATTGTTTTATAACTTTTTGGGTGATAGATTCAACTGATCGCTTATTCAACTGATCTCTTAAGATCCCTTATGTCCTTCTTGTCATTAACTATGACGGTGAGGAGTGTGCTCAAAGTGTGTCCAAAAAATGAAAAGGGTGGCCTTGATGATAGGTCACACATATAAAAACAATCACCCCTCCGGTGATAGTTAAATTGCACTGTGATCTGCAGTCCCTGGCAGGTCCTAAAATTTCTTCCCTTCATTATTTAAGAAGAAGAAAGTAGGAATTAGAAAGACAGCTAAGATGCACATATAATTGGTATCTCAGGATCTAATAGAATGAAGACCAGAGTGGTCAGCTCTGAGCCACTCCTTTTGCAAGTAAGAAAGTAATTGGTGGTGGAGATGCTCATTTTCTCCTCCTATTGAAAACAAGGAAGGACATCTTCTATGAAATAAAACTGGGCAGGCGTATGCAAAGTCCCTTTTGATGGAGTTTATTTCAGTTTTAATTAAAAAAAACTTGCTTGTTACTTATTTTGATGTATATTGTTTTACATCCATTAAGATTTTTTAAAAATTTTCTAGGAGATTCTTCCATTTGTGGAAAAAGAAGGCACTACATCATCAAAAATAATATTGTTTGTCATCTTATGCTTATATATTTTATACCAGCATTAATTTTTTTCACATTGGTTTTTAACCACTTATAATTTCAGTTCCTGGGTGGCTTTTGACCTTAGTTTTCCCCCACGTATTGATAAATATATTTAAATTAGCAAAGGTCCACAGACAAGCACACCCAAATTGGTGTAAAATGGGCAGTTCAAGAAAGGACTCTCTGTGCTCTTTAATGTGTTTGTTATTTTTATCCTACATATGAGAGGAATGATATTGTTAAAAAAGCAAAAAATTGGGTTGAATGTGCTGCCTATGCCTACCTGAACTCAGGGAAACTAAAAAATGCAAGGGACTTCCCTCAGCGATCCTAATCCTTTGGAAATCCCATTGAAGAAAACTTCATTGAGAGTAAAAGTGAATGGGCTGAGGATGAGGGCTTTATCAATGGGAGATTTGTTCTTTAATCCTATAGAAAGTGGGTAAATCTCTTAAGTGCCTGCTAATGAGAAAATATGGAAGATGCTCAGCCTTTGTCAGATCTCTGAAGGGAGTCCCAGGAAGAGCACCTAATAGCACCGTCTAGTTAGCTTCTTCTCTCTATTATTTTAAGAAATGGAAGTCTTTAAAGTAATAACAAAATGTTCAAGATTGATTCACGATGCGCCCAATATAATACTGACATAATTGCCATGTGTTACATAATAAACAAAACATCTGTAGCGTTATAACCTTGGTGATGACTTATGAAATCAAGGTATGGACCAATTAATGGGTTGGTATTTTATTTCTTTAAAGGTAAGACTCTATAAACATTGGCTTTAAATTGTCCTAATTAGTAACTTGCTCATTAATTAACTTTCTGATTAATTGTGTAGCAATCCAATTTGCAGATGAGGCATTTGAACAGTTATACCTTATACTCCTTCTCCTGTCTTTAAAATTCCCCTGCATTCATGCGGTTTCTCAGGGCCTGGGCTTTCGCTGCTGGGAAGAGACCAGAGCCAAAGA